GAGAGAACGTGTTAAGCACAGGCATATGCTGCGGATGTCTGTTGAGACGTCCCAAAAGTGGGTCAGAGAGAACGTGTTAAGCACAGGCATATGCTGCGGATGTCTGTTGAGACGTCCCAAAAGTGGGTCAGAGAGAACGTGTTAAGCACAGGCATATGCTGCGGATGTCTGTTGAGACGTCCCAAACGTGGGTCAGAGAGAACGTGTTAAGCACAGGCATATGCTGCGGATGTCTTTTGAGACGTCCCAAACGTGGGTCAGAGAGAACGTGTTAAGCACAGGCATATGCTGCGGATGTCTGTTGAGACGTCCCAAACGTGGGTCAGAGAGAACGTGTTAAGCACAGGCATATGCTGCGGATGTCTGTTGAGACGTCCCAAAAGTGGGTCAGAGAGAACGTGTTAAGCACAGGCATATGCTGCGGATGTCTGTTGAGACGTCCCAAACGTGGGTCAGAGAGAACGTGTTAAGCACAGGCATATGCTGCGGATGTCTGTTGAGACGTCCCAAAAGTGGGTCAGAGAGAACGTGTTAAGCACAGGCATATGCTGCGGATGTCTGTTGAGACGTCCCAAACGTGGGTCAGAGAGAACGTGTTAAGCACAGGCATATGCTGCGGATGTCTGTTGAGACGTCCCAAACGTGGGTCAGAGAGAACGTGTTAAGCACAGGCATATGCTGCGGATGTCTTTTGAGACGTCCCAAACGTGGGTCAGAGAGAACGTGTTAAGCACAGGCATATGCTGCGGATGTCTGTTGAGACGTCCCAAACGTGGGTCAGAGAGAACGTGTTAAGCACAGGCATATGCTGCGGATGTCTGTTGAGACGTCCCAAACGTGGGTCAGAGAGAACGTGTTAAGCACAGGCATATGCTGCGGATGTCTGTTGAGACGTCCCAAAAGTGGGTCAGAGAGAACGTGTTAAGCACAGGCATATGCTGCGGATGTCTGTTGAGACGTCCCAAAAGTGGGTCAGAGAGAACGTGTTAAGCACAGGCATATGCTGCGGATGTCTGTTGAGACGTCCCAAACGTGGGTCAGAGAGAACGTGTTAAGCACAGGCATATGCTGCGGATGTCTGTTGAGACGTCCCAAAAGTGGGTCAGAGAGAACGTGTTAAGCACAGGCATATGCTGCGGATGTCTTTTGAGACGTCCCAAACGTGGGTCAGAGAGAACGTGTTAAGCACAGGCATATGCTGCGGATGTCTGTTGAGACGTCCCAAAAGTGGGTCAGAGAGAACGTGTTAAGCACAGGCATATGCTGCGGATGTCTGTTGAGACGTCCCAAACGTGGGTCAGAGAGAACGTGTTAAGCACAGGCATATGCTGCGGATGTCTGTTGAGACGTCCCAAAAGTGGGTCAGAGAGAACGTGTTAAGCACAGGCATATGCTGCGGATGTCTGTTGAGACGTCCCAAACGTGGGTCAGAGAGAACGTGTTAAGCACAGGCATATGCTGCGGATGTCTGTTGAGACGTCCCAAAAGTGGGTCAGAGAGAACGTGTTAAGCACAGGCATATGCTGCGGATGTCTGTTGAGACGTCCCAAAAGTGGGTCAGAGAGAACGTGTTAAGCACAGGCATATGCTGCGGATGTCTGTTGAGACGTCCCAAACGTGGGTCAGAGAGAACGTGTTAAGCACAGGCATATGCTGCGGATGTCTGTTGAGACGTCCCAAAAGTGGGTCAGAGAGAACGTGTTAAGCACAGGCATATGCTGCGGATGTCTTTTGAGACGTCCCAAACGTGGGTCAGAGAGAACGTGTTAAGCACAGGCATATGCTGCGGATGTCTGTTGAGACGTCCCAAAAGTGGGTCAGAGAGAACGTGTTAAGCACAGGCATATGCTGCGGATGTCTGTTGAGACGTCCCAAAAGTGGGTCAGAGAGAACGTGTTAAGCACAGGCATATGCTGCGGATGTCTGTTGAGACGTCCCAAACGTGGGTCAGAGAGAACGTGTTAAGCACAGGCATATGCTGCGGATGTCTGTTGAGACGTCCCAAAAGTGGGTCAGAGAGAACGTGTTAAGCACAGGCATATGCTGCGGATGTCTTTTGAGACGTCCCAAACGTGGGTCAGAGAGAACGTGTTAAGCACAGGCATATGCTGCGGATGTCTGTTGAGACGTCCCAAAAGTGGGTCAGAGAGAACGTGTTAAGCACAGGCATATGCTGCGGATGTCTGTTGAGACGTCCCAAAAGTGGGTCAGAGAGAACGTGTTAAGCACAGGCATATGCTGCGGATGTCTGTTGAGACGTCCCAAACGTGGGTCAGAGAGAACGTGTTAAGCACAGGCATATGCTGCGGATGTCTGTTTAGACGTCCCAAAAGTGGGTCAGAGAGAACGTGTTAAGCACAGGCATATGCTGCGGATGTCTGTTGAGACGTCCCAAACGTGGGTCAGAGAGAACGTGTTAAGCACAGGCATATGCTGCGGATGTCTGTTGAGACGTCCCAAAAGTGGGTCAGAGAGAACGTGTTAAGCACAGGCATATGCTGCGGATGTCTGTTGAGACGTCCCAAACGTGGGTCAGAGAGAACGTGTTAAGCACAGGCATATGCTGCGGATGTCTGTTGAGACGTCCCAAAAGTGGGTCAGAGAGAACGTGTTAAGCACAGGCATATGCTGCGGATGTCTGTTGAGACGTCCCAAAAGTGGGTCAGAGAGAACGTGTTAAGCACAGGCATATGCTGCGGATGTCTGTTGAGACGTCCCAAACGTGGGTCAGAGAGAACGTGTTAAGCACAGGCATATGCTGCGGATGTCTGTTGAGACGTCCCAAAAGTGGGTCAGAGAGAACGTGTTAAGCACAGGCATATGCTGCGGATGTCTGTTGAGACGTCCCAAACGTGGGTCAGAGAGAACGTGTTAAGCACAGGCATATGCTGCGGATGTCTTTTGAGACGTCCCAAACGTGGGTCAGAGAGAACGTGTTAAGCACAGGCATATGCTGCGGATGTCTGTTGAGACGTCCCAAAAGTGGGTCAGAGAGAACGTGTTAAGCACAGGCATATGCTGCGGATGTCTTTTGAGACGTCCCAAACGTGGGTCAGAGAGAACGTGTTAAGCACAGGCATATGCTGCGGATGTCTGTTGAGACGTCCCAAAAGTGGGTCAGAGAGAACGTGTTAAGCACAGGCATATGCTGCGGATGTCTTTTGAGACGTCCCAAACGTGGGTCAGAGAGAACGTGTTAAGCACAGGCATATGCTGCGGATGTCTGTTGAGACGTCCCAAAAGTGGGTCAGAGAGAACGTGTTAAGCACAGGCATATGCTGCGGATGTCTGTTGAGACGTCCCAAAAGTGGGTCAGAGAGAACGTGTTAAGCACAGGCATATGCTGCGGATGTCTTTTGAGACGTCCCAAACGTGGGTCAGAGAGAACGTGTTAAGCACAGGCATATGCTGCGGATGTCTGTTGAGACGTCCCAAAAGTGGGTCAGAGAGAACGTGTTAAGCACAGGCATATGCTGCGGATGTCTTTTGAGACGTCCCAAACGTGGGTCAGAGAGAACGTGTTAAGCACAGGCATATGCTGCGGATGTCTGTTGAGACGTCCCAAAAGTGGGTCAGAGAGAACGTGTTAAGCACAGGCATATGCTGCGGATGTCTGTTGAGACGTCCCAAAAGTGGGTCAGAGAGAACGTGTTAAGCACAGGCATATGCTGTGGATGTCTGTTGAGACGTCCCAAACGTGGGTCAGAGAGAACGTGTTAAGCACAGGCATATGCTGCGGATGTCTGTTGAGACGTCCCAAACGTGGGTCAGAGAGAACGTGTTAAGCACAGGCATATGCTGCGGATGTCTGTTGAGACGTCCCAAACGTGGGTCAGAGAGAACGTGTTAAGCACAGGCATATGCTGCGGATGTCTGTTGAGACGTCCCAAACGTGGGTCAGAGAGAACGTGTTAAGCACAGGCATATGCTGCGGATGTCTGTTGAGACGTCCCAAACGTGGGTCAGAGAGAACGTGTTAAGCACAGGCATATGCTGCGGATGTCTGTTGAGACGTCCCAAACGTGGGTCAGAGAGAACGTGTTAAGCACAGGCATATGCTGCGGATGTCTGTTGAGACGTCCCAAACGTGGGTCAGAGAGAACGTGTTAAGCACAGGCATATGCTGCGGATGTCTGTTGAGACGTCCCAAACGTGGGTCAGAGAGAACGTGTTAAGCACAGGCATATGCTGCGGATGTCTGTTGAGACGTCCCAAAAGTGGGTCAGAGAGAACGTGTTAAGCACAGGCATACGCCACTGATGTGCTCTTTCCCCCTGCAGGACGTGTTGCAAGCCGGCACTTGCTACCGCGCCGAGCCAGTCAGAGGTGAGGTGAGTGCTTGTGAGAGGTACGTGGCTCTTGTTCTGCTCTGCAATGCTACAAGGGTCAAGACGTGGTACTAGTACAGGCATGCACCTCTGGTGTGCTCTTTCGGCCGCAGGATGTGCTCCAGGCTGGTGCTTGTTACCGCGCAAAGCCCGTCATAGATGGCAGTACGAGGGAGGTGGAGGCGGGGCTGTCTCTCAGAGAGGTGCACCGCAAGGCCACAGCACCACTCTCAACCCCTCAGAAGCTCACAGCACCACCGCTCACTGCAGCTACCATAGAGCTCCCAGACGGCAGCACAAGAGACGTGGAGGCGGGGTTGACTCTCAGGGAGGTGCACCGCAAGCTGTCGGACCACTGCGGCAGCAAGTTGTGTCTCGCTCCATATCCCCCTTCTGTCTCCTTCTCGCCCCTCCTTCCCCTCCATTGCCCCTTCTCCAGGGCCGCTTGTCTCGATGCTGGCAGGGGTGCCTCAAGGCACAGCAGCTTCGTCTCAAGACCTCACTGCACCGCTCTCAACCGCCACGATAGAGCTCCCAGACGGCAGCACAAGAGACGTGGAGGCGGGGTTGACTCTCAGGGAGGTGCACCGTAAGCTGTTGGACCACTGCGGCCGGATTCAATATCCCCACTCTGCCATTGCTGCTCTTTCCCCTCCCTTGCCCCCTCTCCAGGACCGCTTGCCTCGATGCTGGCAGGAACAACCCTTTCACAAGCTCACTCGCTACAAGACACAGCAACAGCACCCATGACAGCCACCATAGAGCTTCCAGACGGCAGCACAAGAGACGTGGAGGCGGGGTTGACTCTCAGGGAGGTGCACCGCAAGCTGTCGGACCACTGCGGCCGGCTGGCAAAGCTCGTCCTGCTCCCTGCTGCGGGCGGCACTGGCACAGAGGGTAGTGATGCTGCTGGTGGTGGTGCTGCTGATGGTGCTGCTGGTGCTGGTGGTGTTGCTGGCGCGACCACTGGTGCTTCTGCTCCTGATGCCGTCAGCAGCGGAAGCAAGAGGTCGCTACGGCTGCATGAGAACGATCCAGAGGTGCTGCTGCTGCCACACGATACAGTCAAGGCTGGAAGACGTTACAAGGCCCAAATATTCTACCGTGAGTGCCCTGGGGTTTGGGGTTTGGAGTCAGGGTTTTGGGGTTTAGGTTGCATGAGAACGACCCAGAGGTGCTGCTGCTGCCACACGACACAGTCAAGGCTGGAAGACGCTACAAGGCGCAGATATTCTACTGTGAGTGATAAGGGGTTTGAGGTTTGGAGGCAGGGTTCCCGGGTTACAGAGGTGCTGCTGCTGCCGCACGACACAGTCAAGGCTAGTTGGCTCTACAAGGCGCGTGTAGTCTACTGTGAGTGCTGAGGTGTTAGAGGTTTCAGGTTTATGGCATGTTATCGTGGGCGGGCGCTGCTGCTGCGGCACGACAGGGTGAAGGGCGTCCTGCGCTACATGGCATGGCGCACATGTTCCACTGTGAGTGATGAGGGATGTGTTGTAGCAGCAGCAGCTCAGGTGAGTTGCAGGGGTACGGCTGAGCTCCCCACACTCCCCGCTGCAACTCAGCAACAGCCCATGATATAGTCAAGGCTCTCCACACCTGCCCCTCTGCAAGGCTCTCGCTTCCCACCTCTGCAGCCCAGCTCACGCCAGACAACTCACCCCTGCAACACCTGCCCTCGTTCGCCACTACCATCTGCTTTGTTCACCCATTTTCCACCTGTTCTCCTCCCAACCCCACCCATACCTGCAGCCCAACGCACGCCAGACAACTCCCCTCTGCACCACCTTCCTTCCTTCGCCTCTCCCTCCTTCTGACACTCCCACTTGATTAGTTTATCCGTTTTTCACTTTTCCCAATCCTGTTCCACCCCCCACCCACACTCCCCACCTGCAGCCCAGCGCACGCCAGACAACTCCCCCCTGCACCACCTCCCCTCCTTTGCCACGCCTTCGTTCAATGCTCCTTCCCCCCTCGCCTCCTCCCCGCCTTCCACCTTGAAACTCGATCCTCTTTTCGCCGCTGCTGGCACCACTACAGCTACTGCGACAGATGCTGCTACAGCTACTGCGACAGATGCTGCTACAGCTGGTGCGGTTGGTGGGAGTTTCAAGGCTCGCCCCCCACACTCCCCGCTTCGCCCCTCTGTCGCTCGCTCACACTCTTCCGACAATCCCTCGCCAGAACTCCGCGCTGCTGCTGGTCCTGTTATTGGAGCTGCTCCTATCGAGTACAGAGTTGCTGGTTACACTGTGTCTGGTAACACAGTCATGGCTCCCTTTGCTGGGACCAGTTCGGCTGCTTCTGCTTCTGTTGCTGCAGCCGCTGCTGCTACTGCAGCTTCTGCTGGTGGTAACCAGGTTTCTCTGGCTGGTGTTACACGCTCTCACACAGTAGGGCAGCCAGGGAAATGGGGAGGAAGCAACGAGATTCCTAAGAGCCCCTCTGCAACCACTCGTACCACTGGTACCACTGGCACCACTGGTACCACTGGCACCACTGGTACCACTGGCTCTGCTGCGTTGGGGGAGAAGGCAAGGGGGGAGGGTCAGGCTGAATTGCTGCAGCAGGGTGAGAACCAGGGCCAGAGTGGGATATTCCAGGGGGCGCTTGGGAAATTCTCACAGTTTTTTAAGTGAGGCTAGCAGCAGTTTAAGTGAGTTGCCAGTGGGGGAGAAGGCAAGGGGGGAGAGCCAGGGGGGTTTTGTTGCAGCAGGGTGACAATCAGGGCCAGAGTGGGATATTTCAAGGCGCCCTTGGGAAATTCTCTCAGTTTTTCAAGTGAGGGTGCTAGCAGCAAGAGTGCCAAGTGCAACACTGTCAACAGCAGCAGCGGTGATCTTGGATTAGCAGATGGAAGGACTGGGGTACAGGCGAGCAGCTGCTTGAGTGAGTTGGCGGTGGGTGGGGGAGAGGGGAAGTACTGAGATGCAGGTGGCTCTGATGCAGCAGGGTGAGAAACAGGGCCAGAGTGGGATATTCCAGGGGGCCCTTGGGAAATTCTCACAGTTTTTCAAGTAGCAGATGCAAGGCCTGGGTACAGGCGAGCAACGGTTTAAGTGAGTTGCCAGTGGGGGAGAAGGCAAGGGGGGGGAGCCAGGGGGGTTTGGTGCAGCAGTTTTTTCGGGGGGATATTCCAAGGCGCCCTTGGGAAGTTCTCCCAGTTTTTCAAGTGAGAGTGCTAGCAGCAAGAGTGCCAACAGCAACAGTGTCAACAGCAGCAGTGGTGATCTTGGAGTAGCTGGTCCAAGGACTGGGGTACAGGCGAGCAGCGGTTTGAGTGAGATGGCGATGAAGATCCCCTCTGCAACCACTAGTACCGCTGCCTCTGCTGCTGGTCATTTCAGTATAAGGACTGGGGTACAGGCAAGCAGTGGTTGGAATGAGTTGCCAGTGGGGGAGAGGTGAAGTACTTGTTGGAAACATTTAGTTCGCGCTTCTGATGTGTCGAGCACTACAATGTAAACGAACTACAGAGAAATAACAGCGAGTCAACCAAAGCGGTTGACAAAAAAGCAACAGCAAGAGGTGAAGCGAAGGTCAAAGGTCAGCGACCTTTGACTCGCTGAAAGCAGCGCGACAGTAAGGACACATACGGTAACTGACTCGCTATTGAGCAGTTACCCGAGTCGTCGCTGTATCGAACCACAACAGCAGTTACAGTTGTCAAATTGCATTTGTGCTTGCTAGGCTGTCCCAGGGTTCACCATAAGGGGTACAACCCCAATTAGTGTTCGAGTAGGCTCTTAACTTGGTAGACTTAGTAGCCTATGGTTTAGGCTTAGGAGAGTAGCGAGAGGAGAGTGCAAGCCAAAAGAGGGTGTTCAATAAGGAGAGAAGGTACAAGGATATAGGCAAAGCAAGCAAGGTGCACTACCAAACAAGTTAAGCACTACACTAAGTCTACACTACAGGTAGTTATAGTATAATGTATACAATTATATTATGACACACCCCCTTAGGCAAATTGGGGGAGAACAAGTGGTCACAAGACCAGTCAAGAAAAGCAAAGCAAGCGCAGGGTAGATCACGAAGTCACCACACACTCCGAGCACAAGCAAATGGCCACAAGGCCAGTTCACATGCAGCAGAGTTATATAAAAGAGAACAAACAGTATAGTGATCATACCCTAGCAAGCGTAAGCATGCAGGTATATATATAGATCACAGTACAAGCAAAGTCAAGCAGTGAGCAAGTGAGACAAAGTAGGAACAAGGCCTAAAACAGTACAAAAACGCTGATGATCACCAGACTAAAGTGCCTTGGTGAATATATCAGCAGTGTTGGCCCGAGTGGCCACGTAAGCAAGACGAAGCTGACCACGCTGCTGCAACTCTCGAGCAAGGAAGTAGCGCAGGGCGATGTGCTTCGTTCTGTGCTCCAGTCTATGCTCCTGACACAAGGCAATCATGGCCTTGTTGTCTACGTACAGAACTGGAGAAGAACGAGGCCACTCTCCCAAGTCAATCAGCAGGTAGGTGAGCCAGCGTAACTCCTGTGCAGCCATGGCCCCTGCGTAGATCTCAGCCTCACAACTGTAGCTGAGAACATAAGACGAGCAGGTAGACCGCCAAGAAACAGAGCCGGAGCCAAGGCTGAAAGTGTAACCCTGTGATGACCGCTGCGTAGCCAAGTCGTCAACCTAAGAAGCGTCTGCGTGTCCAGTGAGGACAACTGGACCCCGTCCTCCAAGCACGAGCCCCATGCCCGACGTACTGCACAAGTAGCGCAACACCCTCTTAGCGGCCTCCCAGTGCTCTGGTTGGTGTCTCCCGGGCGCAACGTAGCGTGCCAGGATGCTAAGAGGGTAGGCAAGGTCAGGTCGAGTGCAGGTCATCAGGTACATGAGGCAGCCCACAAGCTATGGATACGGGCAACTCGGCTCTACGGACTCGTCCAAAGGTGGAGCTGAGAGCGAGTGACCGGTAGGCAGAGGAGTGGACTGTGGCAAGGAGTACCGGAAGCCGAAGCGCTGAAGGACCTGGTGCACCATGTGTGACTGAGTCAGGGTGATGGTGCGCCGTGCTCTGTCCCGGATGATCTGCAAGCCAAGATAGCTGCGCAGCTCACCCAGGTCAGTGCAGGTGTGTCTCTTCTGCAGCTCCGACTTCACAAGGGCCAGTGCCTCAGTGTCAGCAGTGGCAAAGACGAGGTCGTCGACATACACGAGGACGTAGAACGGCGGCAGCAAAGTGTCGGTGCGCAGAAACAACAACGGGTCAGCAGTCGAAGGAGCAAACCCAAGAGCCGCAAGCGTCCTCCTCAGTGTGTCGTGCCACTCGCGAGGTGCCTGGCGGAGACCGTAGACTGGCCGCCGGAGGCTCCACTAGGTACCTGCAGGAAACGACCAAGTGAAGCTAGGTGGACGGCACAGCCAGATCTCCTCGTGCAAGCTGCCCCGTAAGAAAGCTGTGCTGAAGTCAAGAGAGTGCAACTCGTAGTCACGCTGAGCGGCGATGTGCAGTAGAACCCAAAGAGTGGTCATCTTCAGGGTAGGGGAGAAGGTATTGAAGAAGTCAACTCCCTATCGCTGACTGAAGCCTCTAGCAACGTAACAAGCCTTGAAGAAGGGCGGAGAACCCGGCGGCCATTTCACCCTGAAAATCCACATGCCATCGACTATGTTCGCCCCAGGGAACAGCGCCGACGTAGGTGCTTGTGGACTTCCATGATGCCATCTCTGCGTCCATGGCTGTCTGCCATTGAGAGGAGTAGGGACCCGTAATCGCCTCTGCGTAAGAGCGCGGGGTCGGGATGTCTGGTGCATCTAGGTCTCCCTCAAGTGCAAGCAGCATGGCCACACATGGTACAGCAGCTGCAAAACACTCAAAGTCCTCCTGCCTGTGCCTCAAGGACGTCCGTGCCAAGAGCACACTCACCCCCGACGGACGAAGGACAGTCAGACTCAGACTCAGCAACATGTCCAGCGGCGTAGTCGAGACGACAGGTAGCAGCAAAGTCAACAAGCTCAGCAACTAGGGCAGACGCAGCAGTGGACTCAAACGAAGGGTCAGTGACAACAGTGGCTAGAAGACGTGTGACAGTAGGACTGGCAGCACGAGCTAAGTTAGACTCAGGGTCCGGACCGTCAACAAGAGAAGACGCAGGAGGAGACAGCAGGGGAAATCATCGTGGAACAGAGGAAGGACGAAGTGCCATAATGTGAGTGCCGGGGATAGGAGGAGGACACGGACGAGGAACACGACGACCAGTGCAAACAGCGCGAACAGGCGAGGCAGGACGAGACTCAGGCTCACGACGCTCTGTAAAAGAGTCTATCTGCTCAGCGTAAGGAGAAGGAGCAGGCAGTGGGGGGTCTGGCTGTAACTGTGGCTGCGTCTGGTGAGGCGGTGGATACAGTAAGGGAGGAGTAAGGCCGAAAGAAGACGGGAGACTAAGAACCTAGCGAAGCACCTAGCCAGGTGGCGGCAGAGACGACAACGGCGGCGGAACGAAAAACGGTCGCCGCTGCACAGTGCCTCCAGCACCAGTACCGCCGGCTCTAGCACCCCCACCGCCAGCACCTCCAGCTCTAGGGTCTCCAGCTCTTGCGCCTCCAGCTCCAATGCCTCCAGCTCCAGCTCCTCCAGCGCCAGCGCCTCGAGCGCCAGCGCCTCCAGCTCCAGAGTCTCCAGCTCCTGTGCCTCCAGCTCCAGCTCCTCCAGCTCCAGCGTCTCCAACACCACCAGCTCCGGCAGCTCCAGTACCTCTAGTACGAGAACCTCCAGGACCAGCAGCTCCAGCACCTCCGGGACCTCCAGCTCTAGCAGTAACTCTAGCACCTCCAAGACTAGTGGCTCCACAACCTCCAGCTCCAGTGCCTCCAACGGCATGGCCTCTAGCTCCTGAACCGCCACTCATAAGGCGTGTGCGCCGAGCAAACCACTCGCGTAGCTGCCGCGGTGAGAGAGGCTCCCGCCAGTGAGACTGTCGTAGCGAGGCATCCGCAGGACCTCCGACAGACGTAGTACCCCTAGGCTCAGCACCCCCAGACTCCGCA